GCACAAATCATCCAAATGGACCTCAGGTGCATATTTATGAAAGGTTAGGAACCTCCAATAGCACAAAATAAAAGTTAAGGTAAAATTTGCAAAAAATGAAAAAGTTATGAACTGCTGCTGCAATTTTCCCTATCTTAAACTCCCATTGGTAATTGGTTAGGTTCCCTTTGAAACCGAACAAAACCACGCTCACTCCTAATTTATGTAAATGATTACAAAAATCAAGATCCCACTGTCCACTTGAACTATACACAGCAGATGATACGAGGTTAAAACAGCATTAACAGCGAACAAAAGTTAACATCACACCCAAACAAACAACTTACTAATAAGATACAAATAATCTGACAAAATCACTCAAATTACGAAAACTAAAGAAGCTTCCCACTTCATCCATCAACTGATATAGAGCTTTTTCATTCAAGTGTGAAATTCAAAGCTTCAATTGATTGATCAAGGGTAGTCCATTGATGTTCAACAGCAAACGCTTGAGCACATCATCATCTTGTCAATTTCATCCATACGAGAGACCTGCTGAAGAACCGAAAGCCAAAGTTACCAGTTCTGACGGCGGCCCACTCAAATCAATCAAAACAGGCATACCTTGAAGCAGAACGGAATGTCGACCATGGTGTGAGAGATTCTTATGATACACCCAATCACAGTAGAGACATAAAAGAGAGGTCAACTACGCAACTATTCCGGATTCCACTGCAGTATAATGCCACGGCTTAAAGGCTCTGTACTTGTGCTGTATATTCCACAGACAAACTTCAGTAACTATAATAACTAGTTCCTAAAACAATAGGTGAGAATTATAAACACGAATATCGCCAGTGAGATAAGGAATATAGAACTTTATAGTGTGTCAAGTCCTAAATCTCTGGCTTCAACCTTCAAGGATCTCAAGTAATCGATTGCTTCATCAATAACACCAATTGCATTCTTTCCCTTGCCACTGGGAATTATACTCTGCAGAATGTTCACAGTTTCGTGTATTATCTCTATCCTTGACCTTTTTCTACCAGATAAGGAACATAATTTTTTCAATTCTTGATTATTGCCGCTACCACAAGAAGATTCTTCTGCATCATTCTCCAACTCGGAGCATGTATGAGTTTTCAAAGATCTCGAAGAATGCACAAGAGATGGTACAACATAACCTAAATCTAGCAATTTCTGCCTTTTCGGTGGCACGACAGAATTAGACCCCCTGTCACTCTTTTCCTGGACCATCTCCTGAATATTATTATCAGTCATGGTGCTAGGTGAATGGCCTGTGCTCGTCTCTTCATCATCCTCGGAACACTCACTGTCACTATCAGAGCCGAGAAGAGCATTCAGTTCTTCGGTGTCTTCGTGCATCTCACTTTCCAAATCATTTCCAAATTTGTATTCAATGCATTCATCCTTGAAAATTGGCCCCAGTGGAGATGTGATATCCCTTGGCTCTTCCTCAACCAAATTAGGAGTGGCGGCAGGCTTTGGCCTCCAAGAAGTTGCACACTGAACTAGAGTCTTGGCTCCAGAACTGTATAGCAATGTAGTTTTATCACCAGATTGATCAAAAACAAGAAATTTCTTCTGGTTACACGCTGCACACATGTCAGGACGTCCTTTTTGTCCTAAATTTTCAAGTGAGCCCGCTGGGAGTTCCTCTCTGGACAGAGAGTTCAGTACAGGAGCATAGGCCTGACGGAAATGAGACGTACAGTAAAACCAATTAGGATAGTCGTTCAATTCACTTGGCTTCAATTGTTGCAGTGGAAACAAGGGAAAAGTTCCAGTAGTAGAATCCTCAATGCAGTAGGGATTCATATAAGCAGGTTTGGGGTTCAGAGATCCCATGTTAATCGGAGAACCCCAGAAATTCCTAGTGGAAGACTGCTGATTTTGATGCTGGTGATGGAACCAGGATCCAGAATCTTTTTCCATCAAGTACAGCAATCACCTATTAAAAAAAGTAAGACCAACAGTTAGACAAATCAAATGTAGAACACCACTATCAGCAAAATCGAAAAACTCAGACATTGCAAACGTACCAGTATACCGGTAGATCTAAAAATCACTGACTACTACTTGTATCTTTGAGGGAAATATAAACTAAAAAAACCCAGCTTAACTTGAATGCAGAGAAAAGATATCAATCTACGTAACAGGTTTAAGCAACTGGCGGAAATATTCGGCCTGAAATATACCCAATAAAAAATAATTAGAGTCTTTTCAACCGTGTGCAAAATAATAAGACTTCTTACGAAGTTAAGTAGGGATAAACTGACATGGCAAGTAAATATCAAAATTATGGGAATCTCATTCCAAAAAAATCAAGGGTCGTATACTAACCTGACAATCCCGGAGAGGTTGAAAACACGCTATAATTCTAACTATTATGGTGGCACACCCAGCAATTCCACTCTCATGCTTCAATGCCCGAAATCTTGTCTGACTAGCTGCTTGACACACCATAACTACTATTCCCCCAATCCACTCAAAAGAACACTAATCTGTTCGGAGAGTCCGTGATGAAATTATTCAACAGTTTGCAAATTCTTTGCTCAAAAGTAGACCACGTTATCCCGAGAACACAAAATATCACAAAAAT